CCCTTACACCTCAAATCCCATGGATTGAAAAAAAAAAGACATAAAAACTATATGAATGACGTGAGAAAAATGCTAGAACCAGAAAAGAGATATTCACAAAGGGTTTTTATTCCAAGAGGTTGAAGCTTATGTTATTCCTCCAAAATTTCTATGTTTTGAGGTTTTGAGCCAATCGAAAGGAATTGCCCAGGATTTTTGCATAGCTATTCCATTTATACAAATGACCATATAGGAAAATTTTTCAAAGGATTGGATTCCTCCCAAAATCCTTTGTTCCAAAGCAGGGTTTTCAATTTCGAAATTGGATTTTATGCCAGGGGTGACCGTAATTTCGGGAATTTCTGGCTGAAATTATTTGAAAATTTGACTGAATTTGAATAAAATTTGACCAAATTCGTAAAAAATTACAAAAAAACAAACATTTCGGGCGAGATTTGAACATGCCGGTAGGGGCGAAATTATTGAAATTTCAGAAATTTCGAACCGGGATTTCAAACCCTGTTCCAAAGTGGTTTTAAAATGTCTGCTCCTAAGGGCATCACCAATGTATATGACAAAGTGATCCATATAGATGGGACCCACATAAATAGTTTTTCCCTATAGCAATCTCAACAGTGTATATAGATACAAGGTATCAATAGGAGAAGAGAGATGAGTAGAGATAGATAATATAATTTATTCCATATGGGTAGTCCATATGCATATGGGTATCTTTTGTTATTTTTTCTATATGGACTAGTTACACAATGGTTATAGATGGCTTAATGGAATATTCTATTGCTTATGGACTACTTTTACACCACATTGTGGATGCCCTAACATCTTCAATTTCAATCCTCATTAAATTTCACGCTATATGCTATAAAATCTAGAAACTAGCATAAAATCACTCCTCTATCTCCCTCCCCTTCCACTCTCTGTCGATCCCCTATCCTTTGACCCCTCACTCTTTGGCACTGCCTTTTCCCTCTCCCCTCTCCCATCTCCCCTATCCTTTGACCCCTCACTCTTTGGCACTGCCTTTTCCCTCTCCCCTCTCCCATCTCCAATGACAGGTAGACCTCTCCCTTCTCCCCTGCCTACTCACCCTTCTTGGTGACGCAAACGGAGACGAGGCGAGCCAACAAGCTCTCGGCAGCACAGAATGAAGTGGGGTGCACCGATGAGCTCCCAGTGGAGTGGATTAGGCGATGAGGATGAACTCGGCAGTGGCAAATCGAACGAAGAGCTGAGCGACTGTGAGACTGGACGAAGAAGTCGACGTTAGCATCTCCTCGCAAACTTCATAGGCAAAGTCGATATGTCACTCGTAGTTATTGCCTCTCCATTGTCCACCTCCCTCCAAATTAGGCACAGCATGGGGCTCCGTGCTTTTCCTGGTGAGGCCACCGTAACTTGCGGAAAGCACAAGCACACCCACAAGACCACTCACTCCACCCCCTTTCTCCTCCACGGTGGTTTGTCTCCGACATGGTCAACTAGAGCCGCTGGCTAGCTCACCGTGTTGTGAATAGCCTTAGGGCACTCACAATGCAGGACATGGGTATGAGGGACCTTAGAGAGCCACATAAGTCACAAATCTATTTATCTCATGGTGCAAAGTGGTTCTAGGAGTGGATTTAATTTATCATGTTAGTGGCTAACTTCTTCACTTCTATCCTGACATTTTCTAAAGGAAATTACAAAGCAGTCCAATATTTTACACGGAACACTCTAAAAATTAAAAAAAATCATCTCCCTACATTTTCCCCACACCCACCTGTCACTTTTCACTCCACTCGCATTTTTGTCTCTCCCTTGCTCACCGGCGTCGCCGCCTTTACCCTCACCTTGGCAATGCCTCAAACCAGGCAAGCATCGAGCAGATCAACGCAGCGATGAGCAGAAGCATCGAGGAGGCCAAGGCACCGTAGCAAGGAAGCTACTGCTGTAGACGGGTCGAGGCGGCCATCATCGAGCTGGTGTTGCGGACGGGTTGGGGTGGCTTGGAGTGGGGGACGATAACAAGCTCGACAACGCAGAACAGGGAACAACAATAAGGTCCTAGGCACCAAATCTGCCACCGCCATCTTCCTTTTTTCTTACCTGCATCTCTCCCCAAGCTGTCATCATTGTCCTGTCGAGCTCGCTAGATCTAGCATCAGGCTCGTTTGCTAGCACCACTGCTTTAGGGATGACGAAGCAACTCAGGGTAGTGCCCTCGCCAACGACAACCATGCAAGGAGCAGCAGGACGACTGCGCCACATCACACGGGTCTAGGGGCATCGCATGTGATAACAATCCGGCCCAGGTGGGGTTGCCCGAGGCCCAATAACTTAAGGTTGCCCGGACCCCAACAGTTCATAGGCACACCCACTCGGGGAAAGGCCCAATCTCCCTAAAAGACTAGTCTGATAGGGGAAAGGGTGGCTCTCCCTTTTAAGGTGGCTTCCTCCTCCCAAGCTAAGCAAAGCAAGGTGGGATTATTCAGAGGCTCACATGGTCGTCGCCCGACTTTTGCGTCTTTGCCTGCGGTTAATAATGGAGGATGTCCTCATCATTCCCACCCCCTTAACAAGGGCCCAGCTCTGATACCAAAGGATAACAATCCGGCCCAGGTGGGGTTTGCCGAGGCCCAATAACTTAAGGTTGCCCGGACCCCAACAGTTCATAGGCACACCCACTCGGGGAAAGGTCCAATCTCCCTAAAAGACTAGTCCGATAGGGGAAAGGGTGGCTCTCCCTTTTAAGGTGGCTTCCTCCTCCCAAGCTAAACAAAGCAAGGTGGGATTATTCAGAGGCTCACACGGTCGCCGCCCGATTTTTGCGTCTTTGCCAGCGGGTAATAGTGGAGGATGTCCTCATCAGCATAGGGCAACGCCCTCTTCTAATGCAACGTGCGAGCCATGCCCTGTCTTGTTGCGACAAACCTAACGAGGAACGTGCCTCAAGGGATCCGTGGATCTTCATTTGGTAACGGAGAGGCAGACTAGAATCTCCGACGTGAGAAATCGGGGCAAACGCCACCTAGGCATACTGCGAAAGCCCTTAGAGCAGCTCCATTGTGTGTTTGACTACTGCAGTACCAAGATAGCGAACACACTTTGATTCGATGACTTCAGCGTGCGCACCGATTTATGGGACCCGCATAAAAAAAGTTTGGAGGAAATTTTAAATTATGTGACTGAGGTTGGATGGGTTCAACCCCATCTGCAACAAATACTATTTTAATTATCTAAGAGCGACTTATATTTTGAGCTCGATTTAGTTCACTGACACACAACAATCGACTCCCGATAGTTCAATTTCTCCACACACCATAGGGTTGTTTAGCACAGCTCCAGCTCTAGCTTCACCTCTCATAGAATTAAAATTCAGCCAAACAGTTTTAGTTCCACCTAAATAACAGCGGAGCTGGGTGAAACGCTCTCATAAAATAAACTAGTTAGAGTTTACTCCCAAACAAGCCCTATAGGCTATAGCTGCTCTTATGAAATCCGGTTCTGATCGTTTTTGTTTGTCCTTTTCATGTGCGAGGTTTTAGGCAGCAGCTGCAGCTCAGCTCTACAACCGGAGCTCCTGCAATGCAGGCACTCCACGCAACCGCAACCTTGAACAGTTCACTAGTACTAGTACTGGCTCTGTTCGGGAGGGCACTCTATTATTGTATTCTATTATTGCATAATTAATTAAGTATTTACTATTTATTTTAAAAAATAGATTAATATAATTTTCTAAAATAACTTTTGTATATAAACTTTTTGTAAAAACATACCGTTTAGCAATTTCAAAAACTTTCGCGTGAAAAACAAGAGAGAGGATGGTGGGAACTGCTACTGCAGAACGCAGCCAGAGCGGAGCAGAGAAAAGGAAGCGCGATCGACGCCACACGCCAACACGTGCATCCTATCCTACCAGTCCACTCAGGCAAATCAAAGGCAACCCCCCATCACTCCGCATTTATAACCCCACCCGATGCAAATGCGGTGGCGCCTCTAACCGCGTTCTTTTCTCCAAACCGGCTACCTTCACCCGTGTGGAGTCCAAGCGTCCAAAACTCCAAACCCCCGCGAGCTGGGACACCTCACTTGCCACACCGAACTTCGCTTTCCAAGCCCTTCAACGCGGCGCCCACACGGCCATCCTCCGGCATCCCTGACCCTGTGCCGCGCGCCACGGCTCAGACGACGACGACGGCGACGGCGCCCGCCCTGACGCGGCCGACAGCCGACGAGGTGGTCGACGGCGATGGCCAGGCCAGACCAGGCTGAGCCGAATGCCGCGTTGATGGTAGCTGCGGCACGGCGCGGCAATAGGATGCGTTTGGGTTCTTCTCTCAGTTTTCCCAACTCACATCTCTCATTTTTCACGCGCACGCTTTTTAAAATGTTAAACGGTATACTTTTTAAAAAAATTTCTATACGAAATTTATTTTTTAAAAAATCATATTAATCCATTTTTTAAAAAATATTAATTAATACTTTATTAATTCATGTAATAATACCGCCGTGTCTAGTTCCAAAATAATTCTTCAAACTTCCAACTTTTTCATCACATCAAAACTTTCCTACTTCCAACTTTTCCATCACATCGTTCTAATTTCAACCAAACTTCCAATTTTAGTGTGAACTAAACACAGCCGGGTGCTGTTTTGCGTGCCGGGGAAGGTCCAATTATTGAGCGGATCTGCACGTACAGCGCCCTGTACTGTACTTTACCAACTTGTTCAGGTTGTAGCAGCAGGAGATAGCGCGTTTTCAGCCTTCAAAAGCATGGATGATTTGATTCCCCAGGGGATAATAACAGAAACAAGAATGCATCGATCGGCATATCGCTATGGTCAAAAAAGTAGAGTTTTGTTTACCTGTGGAGACCAATTGTCATGGATGTGTGGGCTTGTACTTCCTTTCCATGGATGAGAGGGGATCAGGGAATTAGAACAGAGATTCGGGCAACCGCTGCAATCATGTGCGATGAATAAATGCCACCAGATCAAAAGGGTTAGGCATCGATTCGATCATACCGGAACCACCATAAGCTGAGGAGCATGATGGTGAGCTGCAATTATTGATCAGGGCAATATGCTTTGCACACACTCTCTGTATATATGGAATTGTGGTTGGTTTGCCAAGCTTGGAAATGTGGCACCCAGACAGGAATTGATGCTGCTGCTTCTGTTACTACAAGCTCTAGTACAGTATGAGTATAGGATGTTGTTGAATTTGACCCTGCCGTAGTTGTCGTAACTGCACATTCATCTACCTGACGAGAATGATTCCTTCAGAAAGCTGTAGAGTTCCTCCGCGACTGGTGATGGGAATTCCTCCTGCGGCAGAAGGGCACCTGGAACCTCCACGAATTTTGTCACGCCTTTGGCGCCTCTGAGAGCTTCCATCTCAGCCTTCGACCTCTTCGGGGCATTCACGGTCGATGCAACCAGAACTGGAGCGTCACCGTCCAACTTGGCAAACAGCTGAAGGAATTCTTCCCTTGTTTGGACAGGGTCAAGAAGGCCTGTCAAGAATGCAGCCGGGACAAACCGTGCACCTTTCCTTTTGGTTAACTCGTAGCGACTTTCCACGATATTTGGAGTCACGTTCTCAGGGTTGGCATAAACGTGAGACTTGTACTGGGACTGGATGGACTTCTCGTTGCTCACCAGAACATTGTACATCATCCAGCCAATAGCCGGGGCCCTGAGGGTCCCTCGTAGAAGCCCATACCTGTTGATAATGGTTAGGGAAACAATTTTCAGCATGATCAATTTTGTATCTAAAGAAACAAAAGGCTGAGATGTCTGTAAAAAGGCTCAACGGGAACATGTTATCACATAATTATCTACATCAGTCAGTTTTCAAAAATGTAAAAATATATATATACACCATTAATTGTTATTTTGTTACATGTACTTTACTACATCTCACTGATTAGTTACACAAATATATCATTAGTTAAATGAATTGTACTAATAAACGTAAAAGGAATGAAAACGACTAATGGAAAATCAAATCAGTAGCTTTCTTAACCAATTTGGAAAATAAAGTGCCAGCAGAAACATGGCACTGGCACTTTCTGTATGCAACGACAGTATAACACACAGATATGTATTTATCAACATGGAAAACGAAATGCCTGCATAAACATGCTAGTTGCTACTGGCACTTCATCTATGCAATACCATAAACATATTCAAACCATAAATGGCATCCAAGACTATATTACTAGTGGCTTGACTGCATAAACACAACCATATTTTCTCAGTTGCAATGCATCATAACCTCACTGCAATACTTACTTACCCATCACCCATCTACCAAATGTGCCTCTTGATTTAATGAGATAGGTCAGTAAGTATACACAATTCAACGGATGACAACATGAAAGATGGCTCTATTGCAAGAGCCCAAGGATTACTATATAGAATACAAGACAAAAAATCTAGAAATTACTCATCTATACACATGAGACTGCACTATTACCCATTTACCCTTGACAGATTACAATTACCATTCACAATTCACACATATCACAAAATATATTTACATCTTATATTTGTATTTATGAAGGGATAGGTAATACATACTACAGGATTACAACCTGCAGGACGAGATCTTAAATAGTGTGTGTGGTATCAACAAGGAGCATCGAAAATGCAAACTGTTGCTGAAAATGTAGTGGTGAAGATAATATTTCATATTAGCATCAAGTGTTCGGGCCTCATCATTTGCCCCATGGCTTATAAGCTGCTGCTGAAATTTAAATTTCTAAACTTGATTTCGAAATTGATTTTGATGTTTTTTCAACATAGTTTCTTTTTCAGCATTGGCTTTTAAGTCGCTAAGGACACATATAAAAAAGTTTTACCCATAAATTAATTTTTGGTTGTTAATAAGCTGTTACAGTTTATAATAAGCTGTAAGCAACTGATGAGGACCTTCCTTTTTTATAGTAGTACTGATGTTGTCTTTGAAATTATCTTACCAAAAAAACCACTCCGCATAATGCTGAGCATAAATCAAAGAGCAAAGGTGATAGGAGGACCTTTCCTAGCATTCTCTGACAAATATTTGTAATATCAAAGCTATACACTTAGTCTATACCTTGTCTCCATATCAGAACCTCGGCCAAATACAATGGGAAGGGGTCCAGCCCAAGTAGGTGCAACTGCAGCAATGCCAGATGGCCTTATAAGGCCCTTCCCAGCCGCACGGACTGCAATTGTTGCTGCATGACCTCCTCCAACTACTACCACTTCACCATCTGATCATGATAAAGAATTACAATGGCACCATCAGTTGAGTAATGATATTCAAGAAAATGTGTTGTTACAGAAGTATTAACTGGAATATTTTTGTAAAATATGTTTTCTGCACTGTTTTAGTTGCATTGGGTAATAGTACTGCTAACCTTGGCTATGAGTAATCCTGATTTCTAGTTGAATCATTGACTATTACAGTAACAATATGCAGATAAAGTAGTCATCTATAATATAAGAACCAGAAGAAAGAAATGTATTGTTCATTACAGAATATGCCCAAGTGAAGTAGAGTGTATTGAATCAGGTAAAAAATACAGTGGAAATGCTTACAGTATCAGACTATCAGTGCGCTTTAAGATGAAAATGTTGTATACCTGTATTTGCCACAGGACTATTTGGTGAATTAATTAACTGAACCAGAAAATTCTCCATCACATCAGCATTGTAGTTCAGTGATGGCCTGTCTGAATAACCCAGACCAGGCCAATCAACAATTGTAGCACGGTAACCTAATTCTCCTTTTCGTGCCACAATATCTTTGGCTACCACCCTCCATTCCTCCACTGTGCTAACATCAGAAATTGTAGGAATCATAAGAATGTTCTTCACGTTCTCAGCAGTCTCATGCTCATGTTCCTCATAGTAAATGTTTATTGGCTTATCCTCAAATGTCCACTGCCATTTCCCAGTCTAGAAACACATGTATGTAATGTTATAGCTTAGTGTCACAGTCAAACAACAAAGAAAAGCAGAACAAAATTTTCCATACAACTACATCCAAAACATTTCATTCAAAATCTAGTGTTTCAGTACTTGCCACTGTGGTGACTGAAATCCATTCTGAACATTAACAATTGAGACAAGGACAATTGATCATTTGCCACTCTAAAGAGTGCTGTTTCATTAAAAAAAATGCCATTATAAACAATGTAAATCTTTTTTCTTTTGCTGCTCTAACAATGGAATTATTCATATTTGCCCCTATGGGCAATTTAACCCCTCTCCCCCTCTGTAATAATTGGTTGTAGCTCTCTTGAGTAAAGGCCGGGATGTTATATTCCATTATCTAAAAAAAAAACCCTCTCCCCCTCTCATCCTTCTTCCTAGTCTTGCCATGCCCACTGGTGAGGCGCTCTACCACAGGCAAACAAAAATATAGAAAAAGGCATACCACTAGAACTTCTGATCTCTTGCCATATCTATTCTTCTATGCTCCCAAAAGAACACAAAAATAATATATCCACCCATTATTTGACCGAACCCCCACAAGCATTCTTGTATGATCTGGCAGTTGAGAGTCACCTTTCTTGAAATTGTGAATTTCTCACCCTTCAACAATCAAAACCATTCATGACTAGCTTCCTTCCAATGGCATTCATATCATTGGTTTTAGGGTTAAAAAAATGGCATCAATTATAAACAGGAGTAACATGGACCCAACAGAGCAGGAGGCATCATGTTTATAAGGTAGGGCCCAAGATAAAAGCATGCAAATGACAGGAAGAAAATAAAACCTGCATATCTCAAAAATGTAAGGCTGGGTCCCATTTTTGTAAATCTACCAGGTGATGGATCATTAACCTATCTTCTTTTAGGAAAAAATTTTCAAAAGATATCCCAGGAAGGAAATGAAGAGAACAGGGTGATAAATTCCCCTTGCCTCTGTCCCTCCATATGGTTGAATCGCATTCCTCGTTTTAACCATAGGAGCAATTTGCCAACAATTCCCTCTCATGGAGAACTGGAGATCATGCACACTATGCAATCAGCCAAGCGCATGCATGTGTGTCAACAGCTAAGTAATAAAATTCCAATTTTCCCTGAAATTGTCTACTCCATAATCACTTCAGTAGAGGCCAAGTAGGATTGATCTAATGATGGGAAGATATAGCACTGATTATGAAAAGAAACTAACGAGACAAAACTAGATATTCCAAACTGTTAACCTAGCACTCTGAAACTAAACGGACAATTACTAGACTAACACAAGAACACGTACGTAAAAACTAGATCTTATAATTTAACAAAAGAACAGCTCGTCGTAATTGGGAGTTCAAGGATTCGCTAGATGTATTCTGTAACAGAAATGCATGTTAACAAAACTGCGTTGTTTCAGGTCAAAATAAGCAGCAGTTTGCGCCAAAAGTTAAGCAACTAGATCCCAAATGTTCTATTCTGTTCACGATCAGAGCAAAGTTTTGCAAACATCAATGGGATTTTATTCGAACCTGCATAACTACGCATTTCAGAACACATTTAGCATTACCAATTCTGCTTGTTCATACTTTAGACTCACAAGTCGACACGGGAACTTTACTAATTACTACTACCCACCAATTTGAGATCTACAAAACCGCACAGAAGCAGTTAGTGCCGTGTGGATTGCATGGCTTCAACGCATTCACTGACCACCCAAATTGGCGATCCGTCCGGTGAGCTCGATCCACCACCAGGCGCACCAATGTAACAAATAGTACATGACTACCGGCCGCGGCCAACTCGGCGAGCAAGTGAGTACCAGGCGATCTCATCTCACCTTGGAGGGGGGAGCCGCGGGCTTGGGGACCGTTGGAGGGGAGGCGACGGAGCGGACAGCGAAGCGCCTCGCGCGGCGGAGGCGGCGGCGGGCGGCGAGCGGGGCCGCGCGACTGGGAACCGCGACGACCGGTGAGGCGAAGGCGGCGGTGGCGGCCGCGGCGGTGGGGCGCATGGTTGGTGAGGAAGGAGTGGGAGGTTTGGTGGGAGCAACGGTGGAGTTGGAGTGGAGAGGAACCGAACGACGTGTGCTGCCGTCGACTCGGGACTCCAACGTTCGCTGCCGTCGTTTTGTCGCGTCCATTTCCTCTCCTCTGGTGCAGGTTTCACCTCGTTTTTTCGTCTCTTTCGAATTTTTTTTCTCAAACCACTATGGTTCCTTTTTTTTCTCTTGATTAAGATACATGTTTTATCTGGTGTTAACACGTTTTTCCAAACCATTAAATTGTATATTTTATACGAAAACTTTATATTGTATATAAAAATTACTTTAATAATTAAAACTTAATTGATTATGATCTAATGATTTTCTTATTTTATATGTCAGTACTCAATCTCATCTAAACGCAAATGGCTGATAGGCCACGTATATGTACTTGTATCCGTATCACTATAGTACGTATCCATATCTGATACGGATACGTGGCCTATCAGTCATATCCGGGTACTTAAGAAAAACACAACTCTATAGCAATAATAAATTTAGATCAGCTACTAGCTCAATATATATATATGTGTAGGAGAAGTAATAATGGTGTAGTGGTGGAGTAGTGGGTGGATGATCCATTCACCAAGGTTTAAATTTTAATGTTCACGAATATTACGTACATATAGGTGGATTTTCAATAGTATTGTAGTAAGATTAGGGATGTGCCTGATTTTTGGCTTTCAACAGAATTTTAGGAAGAGTAAAGATATGATGCTAGTTTTTAGCTTTTCACAGATTTTAGCAAAATTAAAGATATGCTGGTTTTTATCTTTTTAGAACGTGTGAAAGAGAGTGTATATGTGGGAGTGTACGTGTGATATTATCTGTGTAGTAGTGTGTGCGCGTGTACACTACTAGTACGTAATAAAAAAAAGATAATACTATTGTACGAAACAGAATGGTCTGCGACCAAAACCAGTTTTTCGTGGGAGCCATACGAAAACGTGGACGCTCCAAAGTCCAAAAGGATCACCAATCGACGAAAATGAAGTCCGTATGGTGAAGTGAACACGCAGCCAACCAAACTACTGTTGGGCCTCTATCCCGTAAAGCAGAAGCTCTCTGCTCCGTGCCACTTGATGGGCTACAACTTCTGTAGACGACGAACGGATGCCTCACAGCAACTCAAACCCGGCCTCGGATACATCACACTCCTCGACCGGAAAGGCTAATGGGCGGGTGATCCCTCCCCCACCCGCCCAGCGATCACCCGTCCACCCTCTCCCCTATACTATTAGATGCCTCCCTCTTCTCTCCCTTTCTCCATTCCTTCTCCTCTTTCTACTACAGTAGACCACACAAATTTTTTTGAAAAACAAAAGTTAGAAAAATTTATATATAGAAATACTATATATAAAAAGTTTGAATTCAAATTCAAATTTGAATCGGGTATGTAAACTTTTGACTTATAAACTTTGGGTCTATAAACTTTAGATGTATAAACTTTAGATGTATAGAAATACTATATATAGAAAATATTTGAATTCAAATTCAAATTTGAACCAGATATAATTTAAATTCAAATTTGAATCGGGTATATAAACTTTAGGTCTATAAACTTTAGATGTATAGAAATACTATATATGAAAAATATTTCAATTCAAATTCAAATTTAAAACGGGTATATAAACTTTTGACTTATAAACTTTAGGTCTATAAACTTTAGATGTATAAACTTTAGATGTACAGAAATACTATATATAAAAAAAATATTTGAATTCAAATTCAAATTTGAAACGGATATATAAACTTTTGACTTATAAACTTTTGGTCTCTAAACTTTAGGTGTATAAATTTACTAAAATAGGAAAGTAATGCGGTGCCAAAAAAGGAAACCAGGTGGAGGGATGAAGGGGGGAGGTGGGGAGCGAATCTGATCGCTACCCCCATCCCCACGGTGATCGATCGCCCATTAGGCGTACCCCTCCTCGACGGCCCTTTCATTTTTAATTTTTTTTCTTTTAATATTTACAGAAATAATCTATTGGCGTAAAAAATTACAAAAATAGACTCTGCCGCTCTAGTGGAGGGCGGCAAGCTGACGTGGCAGACGGCGGCTCGACGGCGCCGTCTGCAAAAATTGCATTTAGCCCCTTGCCGCCCTCGGCAAGGGGCTAAATGCAACTTTCGCAGCCCTAAAGAGCATTTGGCTAGTACTTTTTGCATCTGAGCCCCTTGCCGCCCAAGGGGCCTAGATGCAAAAAGTACCAGCCAAAAAGTACTAGGCCCGGGCTGGCTTTTTTGCATGGGGGTAGAGGGCGGCAAGGGTTTTCGTGCAAAAAAAACCCTCCCTCTCCCGTCTGCCGTCACCGCCCGTCCCTCCTCCGTTTGCCACGTCAGCTTGCCACCTTAGTGGAGGGCGGCAGGGTCTATTTTTGTAATTTTTTGCGCCGATGGGTTATTTCTGTAAATATTAAAAGAAAAAAAATTAAAAATGAAAAAAATTCGGCAAGTGCATGCCGCCCGAGAGACAGGCCTAATGCCCAAACCCACGGTTACCCACCTACCGCGACAGCACGATTCACTCTCGCGCCACGTAAACGCCACGCAAAGAAATAAGTTCACTTTTGGTCCCTTAATTTTGTCGCCCAGTGTAAGTTTCATCCTCAGTCCGGAAAACCCGGATACGATGGAACCTCCAACTTACAAAACGAGTGCAAACGAGCCATGTAGGATGAAGATATGTGGGACGAAGACCAGTAAAAGAAGCCACGTCAACTAAAATCGGGGATCTCGTTTGTCTGGTCTAGTAAGTTTGGGGATGCGTTGTATTCGTTTTTACGGTTAAGAGACGAATCTCAGATTCAACAATTTGATGCATCCAGTGTGAACTTATTGCCCACGCAAATCACACCGAGCGGGCCGCAGAAACCGGAGAGAACACGCGCACCGCATGCGCGCGCGCCGGTTGCGCGTCGCCCCCGACGCCGAGTCGCCGACGGCCGCGAGCACACCTGCCTCGTCTCGTCTCGCTCTCGCTCTCGCGGGCGACGCGACCAAGCGCACAAACCAAAAGCAGGCGAGCATAACAAAAGGAAACGGACGACCTCACGCACACCGTACGAGTCGTCGTCGTCCGCCGTTTCGATCGATCGATCGGCTCTCGGGCCAGCCGCATTTTCCAGATTCGCGCTAGCCGGAAAGAAAATAAAACATTATCATCGTCGTCGTCTACGTCGTAACCTCTTCTTTTCTCCAATAAAAATTAGAATATTCGTGACACGCTTTTCAAACTGATAAACAGTGTGTTTCGTGTGAAAACTTTCTATATAAAAGTTATTCTAAAATATCAGATTAATTTGTTTTTTTAAGTTTGTAATAATTAAAACTCAATTAATCATATGTTATTATTACTCCGTTTTACGTGAAACACTTAATCTTTAATCTTTACCTTGACTACTTTTTTCGCCGGCCCATCGACGTCGTAATCGTCGTCGGCGACTCGATCGATCGGGCCGTGGAGTTCACGTCATGGGAAGAACGGCCGGACGGACCGGCCTGAGCTTTACTCATCTTTTTTGCCTTTTTGGCCTCGGCTGGCCTCCCCGTCCTTTTCATCCGCTTAGCTAAGCTAGCGAGCGCCAGCATGTGTGTGATGTGTTCACAAAACTTTGTATATTGTTACTTTATGGATAGATTGGATCATCGATCGATTAATTGGCGAGTGTACTTGCATCATCGGACCTTGATTAGCATCTACGAAAACGGTGAGATTGTGCTTATAAGATATACATATATAATACTCCAATTAAGTAATCTTTCATGTCGCTCTCCGGGAAGACGAGTGCTCCAGAGTCTAGACCGACACACACGGCAGGCACAGGCAGGTCCTTCCCCGTTAGCTACACGCGCCGGGGCTCATCGTCAAGGAGATACTATGTATGTTAGGTATGTCGTATGTGCAACTCTTCCATAGGTATGGGTTCACCTTTTCGATTGAGTGCTGGATTCCTACCCACCTATAGGTTCCCCTTTTTGATTGAGTGTTGGATTCCGACCTCCAATGATATTATATTTTTTTCCTCAATTTTGGATTAAATTTTGATTGAATTTTACTATCTTAAATTTGAATTTTTAAGAACCTCGACAGTGTCTTGACCTCCATACTGGCTCTACTGCGTGCAGTCCGATTTGTAAGAAGACCACCTTCTGGATAGATGCGGGGGCGCAACAGCTCGGGATCTTGCTGGCCACCCTCGTTACTTCATGATTTAGCCTCTTCTGCCCAATCTCCTCGGCTGGAGCTTGTTTGCTAATCTGTGTGAAATCAATGTGTGTTTTGATTATTTAGTTTGTGATGAACAATTAATTTTACAAATAATTTATTCGATAAATTGGTTTGAGAAAATGTGTGAATATTGGTGTGTGGGTAGACTAAAATCATTGTAAATTCTAAGTTTTGAGGTTCTGGCTGCTAGTAGGTAGACTTATGCAACTTGTTTGAATTTCGTCTAATATATTGATGCGCAAGTCTCTTGCGTGTTTCAAAAGTAAATCTCGTAAACCATTCAAAATTGTACTCAGAACCTACTTTTTGTCTTGCGTCGAAACATCGAAATTTTGTCGAAAACGTGAACTCTGTTTACCATGAGTTGTTGGATAAAAAACAATCATGCTCGTACGACAGTGTTGAACTTTTTTTATTTTTTTCAGTTTTGCCGAGTTTTTCATCATTCATCTTTGTTCTTTCATCTCCATTGTTAATTTACCCTTCAGCTTATTAGCCGCGTCTAAAATTTAAATTTTAAAACTTAATCAAATGGTTGATTATGAGTTTCTTCATCATAATTTTTTTAGCATTTACTTTTAAATTTTAAAAACACACATATAATATGTTTTATTAAAAAAATACTTTTATGTCGTTAACCTGTTACGTATACGGGGAGCCTAATAGGCGATCGTCCAGTGATAAGATCTGCCCTGCCTCCTCTCCTCCCTCTTCTCCCCCTTCCTCCTCCCCTTCTTCTCTTCCTACTACAATACATCACACATTTTTTTAAAAAAACAAAAGGTTAGAAAAATTTATGTATAGAAATACTATATATAAAAATTTGAATTCA